TATATATATAAGTATATATATATGATTATAAATATATACGGAATTGGATTGAATTTCTTTTTACCAATAACCAACATTTAATTACTATTCTTAAAAATGTGCTCAATTTCAGATGAAGGGAGCAGATATAATTATTTATTTAAAAATTATAATATGAATATGTTATAAAAATCACTACAAAAATAGCTTTCTTATTTTGTTTCAACACCTTTTTTCCGGTGTCTTAAATATAAAATATGTAAAATAAATGGAATATATATATATAATAAAAAGGCTTAAACACTAATATTCTATGGTCATAATTTATTCCATTGGAATCGTAAATACGATCCAATTCATCAGATTTACAAATTCAAAAAAAAAAAAAATTGAAAACATCTCCGAAAATAAAAATAAAATTTAGAGAGTTTTCCCTGTTTCATTAATATGAGAGTGTAGGATGAATGTTAGAGCTATAGAGAGGGTTATAGACGAGAGAAGTAATGGAGATTAAAACTTAACAGAGAGAAGTTTTAAAAAGGGGAGTCAAAGATCTTCTTCGGTTTAAGTGGGAGAAATATGAATGTTGTCGGATGTCTAATTACATTAAAGATGTAACCGGAAGGTTACATTTGTGGTGACATACACACACAAATAGAGGATCTAATCTTAAAGATCAGAAGAAGAGGGAGGGGGAGGAAAAGAAAATAAAATAAAAAGGGGTGGTGGAGAGAGATTTTAGTTTGATCACATAGACTAAAAAAATGTTTTTTTTTTTAAATTTGTAGGTTGATGAATTGACATCATAATTGAAACATAATTCCGATTTTCAAAACATGGATGACCATGGAATATTAGTGTTTAAAGAAGAGGGAGGGGGAGATCCTTATATTCTTACTCTGTCCTGGATTTAGTTCTGACCTGGATTAATCTTGGAATTATTTTTTATATATATATATATGTGTATGTATGTATGTATGTTGATATATATTTATATATTTTGCATATGTATGTGTATATTTACCACTAATATCTATCTATCTATTCTTAATTTGTTCGCTATTCATCTATCTATCTATCCTATATGTATATATATATATATATATATATATATATATATATATATATGTATCTATCTATCATCTATCATATATATATATATATATATATATATATATATATATATATATATAAGACGCAAGGGGTGATTGAATAAGAAAAGAAGTAGAAAAAAAACAATCTTTATAAGTTTGAAATATTTCGCTATTTATTTAACTTCATTTTATGTTCCATATACTAAAAAGAATGTCAAATTTACTGCGGCAAATTAGAAAGTACCGGTAATTTTGAAATTGCGCGTTGACTACTATAGGGAGGCCATGGTACGGAACACCACGCGTGTGTATGGGATGACGGGCAGCTAGTCGCGCGCAGCATTGGGTCGTTCAGTCAAGTGGCATGGAACAACGAGATCAGACGCATGATCGCTCCACTCGGCTGTTGAAGCATCGTATCGCGCTTTCTGTGGTCAGAGGGTGTCAAACCCGCGGAAAGCAAATCGCCGGTGATTTGACGCAATACAGAACCCGCGCCACGCATCGGCGGAAGGTATATGGGCAGGCAGAACGTTTTAAAGCGGAATGAATAAGTGTAATAGACCAAACACCGATCTAGTCGCCCATCAACATCGTGCACACAAGAACACATCCAGAGGATGGATGCCTTGATCAGCAAAGACCGACGAATGACGATAGCATTTATTATAGTGGCGGCAGTCAATGTTTGATTGAGTAATTAACATCAGCCAAATTATGGACCTGCATTTAAAAATCAAGCCGACGCGCATGATAACTCGTGTTATCGGAAAATTTTGCGCTGGGCACCTGAACAGCTTAGAGCTCATCATAAAGAACAGCGCGTAGATGTGACCAGCTTCCTGCCCTGTTCGCAAGAAATTCAAGCAATAGCCATCCTGCAAGAGACCGGTGCGAAGCTCTTTTGGGATATTATTCATAATTTACATGTTTATAACTCTACCCTTCGTCCTTACTTTGAATATTGCTGTCACATCTAATCTGGTCCTCCTGCTATATATTTAGAGATACTTGATAAAATCCTAAGAAGAATCTGCAATGCTATTAGTCCCGACCTGGCATCTCGACTTCAGTCCTTTTTCCGCCGCCGTAATGTAGCAAGGAATAATTTGCCATATATGGTCTGGTACCCCCGCTGTTCCTCTCGAGGTTGTCGACAAAGACGGATCTGCAATGTGATCTGTCCTGATATGGCATCTCGATTCCAATCATCCCACAGACATGATGTGGCTTCCCTCTGTTTTTTTTCTACAAATATTTCCATGGTATCTGATTTGATGAGCTATTTTCACTGGTGACCCGACTGCATGAATTTAATCGTGCTACTAGGTTGGCATCTCGATCCCACCCTTTTACTGTCAAAACGGCTAAATGTAAGCGCCATATCTATTCCAACAGCTTCTTCTCTTGCACTTCCCGACAGTGGAACTCCCTTCCTCTTACTTGCTTCCCTGATAACTATAATCTTCAAAAATTTAAATGTAATGGCAATCGACATCTTCTGTTGCCTTGATCCCCGTTCTTCTTTTTGTCCTTTTCTCACCCCCACCCCTATACCCAGTTTTTCTCTTATTTTCACTCTCTGTTACCCCTTCCGTACTAGTGGTACCCCCGCCTTGTTTGGGGCGAAATGCTTATAAAATAAAAAAAAGAAGAAAAAAAAAACTTTCGTGGTAATTGTTCTCCTCGGGTACCAAGACTTTATGAATTTAAGCGCGGTACTTGATTGGCGGTAAGGTCTCATCCATTTAGCGTTAAAATGGCTAGATATAAGCATATGTGCTGCGCCACAATTTCTTCTACCGCACTTCTCGCCGGTGGAAATATCTTCCAGTTCGTTGCTTCCCAGCCAACTTTAATCTTCAAAAATGGAAATGCAATTTCAATCTTTATCTTCTATCTTTTTAATACCTTTATTGTTTGTTTAGCTTTTTTTTTTTTTTGTTTTACAGCATATCAACCTCAACGGGTTATTTAATGCCGACAAACCTGTTATTGCTGGCAATGTGTTTTCCTTCAAAAATCTATTTCTGGGAATATTTTTCCTTCAAGAAATCTATAGCTGGTCATAATTTTTTTTCAAATATAGCTGTTTGTATTACCGGTATTTTTTTTTAAAGTATTGCTGATAATAATTTCTCCTTCAAAAATTATTGCTAGTAATAATTTTTTTTTCATATTACAATGTATTTCTGGTATTAAAATCTATTTTTTACACCAGCTTGGATGTTAATTAGCTGGGACCCTAACAGATGCTACCACCCCGGGTGAAGGTTGACCTGGGAACACCAGCAATTAAAAGGTGGTTCCACGCTCCTCAAAACCTTCTGATCAGAGGCCTTGCTGCTGGACGTAGTTTAACGTCATACCCAGGATGCGGATGTAGTTTATCGTCTTACCCAGGAAGGAATTCCTTTATTTCCTCTCTCCTTAATAGTAGATTTTTTTTCTCATATTCTCTAACGCTCAGTAACCCATTGCATCCTAATTGATCTCTTACCGTTCTTGGCGGTGAAATAATAATAATAATAATAATAATAACAATAATAATAATAATTATAATAATAATAAAAACCATATGGATGGACCAATTCTAACGGTGGTACAAACGGTGAAGGTTTAAATAGTGCAACGTTTTGTGCTTTGCTGCAAGACCAACTGGCACCCGCAATTCGTCACAATCGACAAGGGCTGCTTCGCGACCTGCGCGCGGTCGTATACAGTACGAGTAGATACTGTGCAACGTTTGGGATTTGAATTGCTTCCTCATCTCCCGAATTACGGCCCGGATCTGCCACCGTCCGATTACCACATCTTGGAACCCTTGAAGGAGACGCTACACGATCGCAGGTTCAGATCGGATGGTAAGCCCCCAAAAACGGAGCAGACATGGCTTCTTGAATGAGAGAAAATATTCTTTCCGGAAGTGATGAACAAGCCCCTTGAACGATACCAAGTGTATCGCCGTACAGGGAGATTATGCCGAAAAAGGGATATATATATATATATATATATATATATATATATATATATATATATAAAAAGGTGTCTTATTGCCTCTGGTTTTGGATTTAGCCACGCATATATATGTATATATACTTGGAGAACCGGGAGGAACATGCTCATTAACCACTGTATCAGAATCGACATTAAATGCTGTGTTCTGTGTCTATGAGTGTCTGATGAAATATGAGCCTTCAGAGAGAAAATTATGTTTAGATTTAGAGAGAGAGGGAGAGAGAAAAACCGAATGACGAAGAGAGAGAGAGAGAGTGAGAGACAACTTCTATAGTTATAAGATATATAAATAAGAGATGAAATAGATATGAATATAGACAGAGATATATGGACAGATTTAGATAGATATTAATCAGACTTAGATAGATAGATAGATAGATAGATAGATAAGAGAAAGATATATAGATAGATCTGAACAGATTTAGATAGAAAGGAAGAGAATAATACACACACTGACATATATATATATATATATATATATATATATATATATATATATATATATAGAGAGAGAGAGAGAGATAGATAGATAGATAGATATTTAATCAGATTAACATAGATAATCAAACTTATATATATATACATACATATATATATATATATATATATATATATATATATATATATGTATGTATGTATATATATAGAGAGAGAGATGGATAAGTAGATTTAAACACATTTAGATAGAAGAAAAGCATATATAGATAGATCTGAACAGATTTAGATAGAAAGGAAGAATTTCATAGATAGATAGATAGATAGATAGATAATCAGACATAAATATATATATATATATATATATATATATATAAAGATTTAAACAAATTTAGATAGAAGAGAAAGATATATAGATAGATTTGAAAAGATTTAGATAGAAAGGAAGAGGAAGATTGATAAGTCTGAGCAGATTTAGATAGAGAGGAAGATAGATAGATAGATAGATAGATAGATAGATAGATAGATAGATAGATAGATAGATAAAGAACAGGAAGGGAGATATACACACCGAGTCAGATTGATAAAAATGAACCAACTTATAGAGTTATGAACACGCTAAACTTGATAGAGAGGAATATGGAAAGACTGAAATAGATGGGAAGTCAGGGTGAAAAGAGAGTGCGAAATGAACAGACTGTATTATATATATATATATATATATATATATATATATATTATAAAAAAGACTCCAATAGATAGATATGAAAGGAATGAAATAGATAGATAGATAGATAGATAGATAGATATGAACAGACTGAGATAGATAGATAGATAGATAGATAGATAGATAGATAGATAGATAGATAGATATGAACAATTGTGATAGGTAACTAGAGAGATAGAATTTGAGGAAGTGCATTAAAATGTGAGGGAGAAACACAGTGTGAGAAAAGCTTATAGTGTGTACGTTTGTGAGTTAGTGCGCGCGCACACACGTTTCGCTAAGTCCTGCGTGTGTCCGTGCGTGAGGAAAGTCAAACGAAATTTGACAAATGAAAGCGAGAGAGAGAAAAAGTGAGATAGAAACAGAGAGAGAGAGAAAGAGAGTTGCGGAGAAAGGGAGAAGTCTCAGAAGACGAAGAAGAAGCACTTATTGAATCAAAAGAGATAGAGAGGAAGAGAGAGTATCTGAGAAAGGAAGAAATCTAAGAAGACGTAAAGAATCGGAAGAAGAAGAAGAAGAAGAAGAAGAAGAAGAAGAAGAAGAAGAAGAATCATTTATTGAATTAAAAGAGAAAGAGAGAAAGCAGTGGAGAAAGGAAGAAGTCTAAAAAGAAAATGAAGAAGCATTTATTGAATTAAAAGGAAGAGAGAGAGAGAGGGGGAGAAGCTGAGAAAGAAGAAGTCTAAGACTAAGACGAAAACGAAGAAGCATTTCATTTATTGAATTAAAAGAGAGAGAGAGAACGCAAGGGAGAGAGAGAGTGGGGTATATATGTGTGTGTGTGAGAGAGTGAGAGAGAGAGAGAGAGAGAAGGGGGATACGCAGAAGCCCACAACAACATACAAAAATAATACAATATTAAAAGCATAGA